ATTTTGTTTTTTCAGTGTCAGACTCTGTTCTGACTTTGGCCACTGCAACATGTGAACACTTATGATACGTAGGCTTTTCCTTATCAAGTAATTCAAGTTGTGATGACTGGCTGCAAGATGCTGCTCATATTTTATTACTGGGAATACAATTAACTAGTCTCTTTCCTCTAGGTGTGATTGCTGCAGTGGTATTTGTCCTCATCTGCCTACTGGTAGTGATGGTCCGGTACATGTACAGACATAAAGGCACCTACCACACCAATGAGGCAAAAGGAACTGAATTTGCTGAAAGTGCAGATGCTGCTTTGAAAAATGACCCCACTCTTCAGGAAGCAGTGGATGAAAGCAAAAAGGAATATTTCATCTGAGAGGCAAGGATTTCCATGAAGACTTCCCCAAGAGAATCAATCAGAAATGCTACATCAACAGAAGTACTAAGAGATGGACAATATGAGGATACAGGCAAGCATCCTAGTTGAAAAGTGTCTCTTCTTGTTGTCACTGGGTTGTTTCTTTTCCTCTACCAGTGAAGAACTACATGCCAGATACTTGCCTGTAGATTTTATTAGCAGCCCAGCTTGTCACAGTCAAAATCAATATCAGATAAGAAACAAAATCTCAGTATGAGTGATACACCAAAACCAGATAAAGATAGCAAATGTCAAGCCTTGCAAGTTAATGATGCATCCTATGCTGGTACGATACTACCTGAAATAGAATTTCAAATGGTCACAGAACAAACATTAAACTAGATAAAGCTGATGTAGCTGGAACAAAAACAGCTTTTCAGACCAGATATCTCCCTCCTCCATTTAAATGCACAATTTTATTGGCACAGGGGAGTCTGTTTTGTTTGTTTGAGGATTTAGATTGGTTTGGATTTTTTTCTATTTTTTGAATTTTATATGTATAAAAATTAGACACTTCCGAGAAATAAAACTGTTGGAAAACATGGAAAAGGTAATAATGAAGGATTTATTTCTTGCAGCTTGAGAACTTCAAAATGTTGGAATTTGCAAGGTAGTATGTCATAGTCAGTAGACTTACAAATATGATTCCAATTAGTTGGTAGCGTCCCTGCATGAGTGCATTAATAGGTAGATATTAAAATGTAAAACATCCTGGTTTGAGCAGGCCTTTTGAAATGATGAAACTCAGCTAGATATTTTCATGTAAGATATTTTAGCCTGAGTATTTATTTATTTATTTTGTATTGGAAAATTCTCTTGAATGCCTGCCAGCAGGATTTTGGATTTTTGCAGGGAATGGAATTCAGTTCTGGTGAAGATGCTGATAAACCTGTCACAAATGCAACCATAAGACTGCCACTATAAAGAAGCTTGTTCATCTGCATCCCACTGGCTTGTACTGATGTCTCCCTCTGTATGGCTTCTGTATATCCTTTACATTCTGCTAGATAAGTCAATTACACTCACCATCGATGCTTTATTATAAACAAATAGATTAGTCATGGTGTATCACATGGAAAGATCTTATTCCTTATGTAAGAATCAAGGGTGATGAGTTTCTTTACCCCATTAAGTTGGCTTCCTAATTGAAGCCCACAATTAGCTCCGGAAGTAGGATAATTATTCTCTGCACCTGTTCATCCCCAGCTGCAATGGTGCCCTGAACTACTGAAAATAGAGGCGGAGAAATACACCATAACGGATAAGACACTGATGAGCTCTGCTCAACTCAATATGTTTTTTCCCGTGTTTTGCTCTCTGTATGTGATATATAAAGTCATCTACAGTTGTGCTTTCGAGACACTGTTGCTGATCACTTGTACTCGCTTCTTGGCACCAAAGCTGGGAATGCTTCTGGACTCCAGTATTCATTATGAACACTGGCCACAAAAATGCTGTAAGAAAAGACAGATACAAACAAGAAAAGACTCTTGAGGACCCAAGTGAAGAAATGGGATATTTTTGTCTTTCAATCACAATCTCAGTCTTTTCTCAGTACCCAAAGGAGATGGAATCTGAATTATTCTTAAAATCTTAAATCCTTGTGTTTGCATTTTTACCAAAGAATACCAATATTGTGCCAAATCTACTGAACATTTAAGACATATTTTATAATAACCGTTGTACAACCACATTATATTCTGTGACTAGTGCACTATAAAATGCACAAAACCCATCACTTACAGAGCTCGAATATTTTGCTATTATGTACCTGACTGTTTCCTTCTAAGATAAATTAATATTTTACTCTTTTTACTATTTTTGAAAAAGGAATCTTGTTTTATCTTTCTAGCACAAGTGTTAGAGAAATTCAGTAATCTTAGCTGTAAGACTGAGTTTTTAAAACTGAAACCCCCTGACCCACCAGTTCAATAAAAATGTAAATATTTCCTCTGGGAGAAGGTGAATGGGGTGAATTGATTTCTGCTGCATCTCCCACAGAAGTCATGGGAACACCAAGAAACTTTTCTCCAGTGCTAGCGGGAACCGTAGAGTATTACCAGCCTCTTGTCCCCTTTCATGTACTCAGAACCATGTAATGATTCTTTGGCTGTTAAAGAAAACTAACTTTAGAGGAAGGTGTGAGGACACGGGGAATAAATTCCTGCCTTCCTCCCCAGTCATAAAATTCTGGTTTTCACAACTTGAGCTTGCTGACTATAATTAGACAGACAACTGTGTCATACCTGAAACAAAGGAGAACCTGAATTAGTGTCTCTTTTGGGGTGTGTGGGAGTTTTTTAATTATGAGGTGAACTGAGACAGACTAACTGTCCACATTTTAACTATAAAGGCCAGGTTTTCTAGTGTTACAATGCGAGTTTAGTGGAGTTCAGCCAATTCTTACCATTTCAGTCAACACCAGACTTTGTGTCATCGCTTCCTCTAAATCCGAACTGAATGGAACTACTGGTCTTTGACTATATACCTCCTTAACAGCTTAATTAAATCTCTTTATCCCATTTTCTCTATTCATCTAGGCTGACAAACAGTCCAAGCATACAGAAACAGTTTCCATATTGGTAATGAGCCACTTTGAGTATTCGAAGAGCAGTGACTCTGGAAAGAGCTATAGTTTCAGTTAGGTTTTGGTTGGTTTTTCTTTTTAAAGAGTCCTTTTGAGTTCCAGGGCTTTGAATATTTAAAAATAACTCAAGAACACTGAACAGAAAGAAGAGATGGTGTGTGGAGATTTTCTGTTTGTTTGTTTTTTTCAGGACAGATTTTGTTTTGTAATGGAGAAAGCTCATGACATCTGATGACTGGAAAACTCTAATGGCCTCATCCTGCTATTTTTTACTCATACAGAAACTCCACTGTCTTGAGTCATTCAATTTAGCTGTAAAAAGAGTGCAGTACAAATTTCCTATAACTTTCAGGACTAATCCTTCTGCAAGCAACATGCTGTGCTTAAACAAACACTATGTACAATGCTGAGACATCTCACTTGGCAGCCATAACTTTTCATCACTGCTGATTAAATAATTTTTACAGTTTGCTTCCTGAATAGGAGAATTCAGGAAACAGTTTATTTTCCTCCTACCCCATACTTTTATCTCAAGTCCCTCTGCTGCAATGGCCTGTTGTCCTGCCATTCGCTGGTGCTCCATTTCCCCGGCTGTGACTGCCATTTTTGCTTGCAGTCCCCCAGGTTCCCATCTGGATCCCTACTGCCTTGCCTATGGCAAAGGGTTGGACATTTACTTATGTATTTATTTATCTATTTTTATCAATGAAGTTACTCTGTCACCTTAACATTTGGAACTCAATTTCTTCTAATTTTTGGAGCGTACCTGTACAGTTTTCCCCTGCACAAAAATGCGTGCTTGACAGTCTCAGTCCCTGTAGCAGCATTACAGCTCAGCAGAGTAATTCTGCCCAAAAGCAGCTGGTCCCAAATGAGTATCTGGCCACACATTACTGGATCTGGTACACACTTTTTCTGGTGCTTGGCCTCTATGATTCCCTGTTTTCCTGAGGTCCAATGTGCCATTGCACATTAATGCAATCCTAAAGAGGACTTATTCATCCACTAGTCAAGGTAACCATATATATCTTATTTTCTGTTTTACAACAACAAGACCAAATCACTTTGGGGGACTATTAAAAATAGTACCATAGGATCCCTCAGAACACCAACATAGATTTTTCCTGAAATAAAATCTAGGGATCACTGGGGGAACACAAGGACAGGAAAATATAAAGGATTATTGCTTTTCAGCAAGGAATGTAGATAAGGTGCCCAAACATTTATAGCTGCAGGATAAGTAGGATAGCACCACTAGCTACAGCCTGCAAGGATTCCTCACAGAACACAGGAAACACTAAGGCAAGATTTAAATCAGTAAAAAGATAGAGATACAGAGTAGGAGAAGGTAATTAGATGTCAATAGAGATGAGAGCAGTTTTTCATCAAACAGAATAGATATTGCTGTTTGGAGAAATCAAAGCATATTTGCTGAAGGTAACTGCTGACAACAAATTTCTTTGAATTATATGAGGTGTTTGAATTCCTTGCATATTCAAGCCCAGTCAAAAAATGCTGGTAAATACAGACCAGAAGAGTACTCACAATAAATGTATTAAGAGCTGTTTATTGCATTTTCTAAAATCTGTTTTTCACATAAGAAAGCTTCGTATGTTTGGAAAATGCAAAAGCTTCACAGCAGCAGTTAATACAAACCAGAAAACTAAGGAACCCCTGAGCAAGCAGTGAATACACATCTGAAATGTGTGTTCAATCTGGAAACTCAGGTAGTTAAAAAAGGAAGCTAATGATATAAAAGAAAAACATATACGGTGAGTAAATATTCCAACCACCTTACAAAGGAATGAAATGTTTGTAGTAGTAGAGGTCCTTCTCTAGTTCAAGATGGTAATATTGTCAGTGACTGGAAATAAGGAATCCTTTTCCTACACAACTGTTCCCTGTGTGGCTGGGATAAAATCAATTCAGTGGGACAAGAATTCTACTGACTATATATATCCTTCCTGAAAAAAATTGTATTCCCACCCATGTCAGAAAGAAACACACTATATTAAAGTAGAAATCTTTATAAGTGCTGATCTTTCAGCATAACCTCTCGCTTTTGCACCATTTTTCTGTTGTTTCAAACTGTATGTGTGATAGAAAGTATCTGATACATTGTATTAAAGTCTATTTGAATGGCAGCATTGCTATGACGAAAAATAGAGAATACAGAATGTTCAAAGCTTACTGCTGATTGTATGTTAAAACTGACTATAATGTTTGTATTTACCAAAGCTATTAATATACTGATGGTGTAGATCTACTATATTTTGAATTGAAAAAAAAGCTAAAATATGAAGAAAAAAAAAAAACTTTATAATTAAAGTTGTCATTTTCAGCATTTAGAAGACTTCTCATATTTTTGTTC